AGTGTTTAGAGTCTCCTTTCAATCGGAATGGAGAGCTTATGTTAATATTTCCACAAGAACGGGTACAATCAGAGTTATCATTGGAAGCTGTTTGGAAACAAGAGGAAGGAACCTCGAAGCTTTTGTTGCCGCAGTGTTTAGAGTCTCCTTTCAATCGGAATGGAGAGCTTATGTTAATATTTCCACAAGAACGGGTACAATCAGAGTTATCATTGGAAACTGTTTGGGAAGAAGAGGAAGGAACATGAAGAAGAAGAAGAAGAAGGAGCACTGTGTAAGCAGCAAATAGGAGACTTCCTCCAGACATGCTGTCAGAGCACAAGGGAAATTTCCAATTTAGTGCAGTTTAACTCTTTAAAGATATAATATAAAGTGTTTTTTTTTTTGTTTTTTTTTTGTTTTGCGTAATCAGATAAGAATTAAGAGATCACCGTACCCGCCCGCCATTGACTCAAACATCCAGAAGGAGTGGGGCCCATGCTGTCAGAGCACAACAAAGAGATTTCCAATTTAGTGCAGTTTAACTCTTTAAAGATATAATTAAAACTTTTTCTTTTTTTTCTTTTTGCATAATCAGATAAAAATTAAGAGATCACCGGGTCCGTACCCGTCGGCCATTGACTAAAACATCCAGAAGGAGTGGGGCCCATGTCATCTGAAGTAATCCACACACAAAATAAGAAACCCAAGTCCATATCATATCATATCATATCATATCATCTTCAAGGATACTTGTACTCTGCAAATAATTTCTTGCCATCATGAATTTCTCACGGTGGTTGCTCATGATAGTCGTAATAGTAGTAGATGCAGTCAATGGTGGACTAGGCCATGAAGATTGCACAGAAACAAGATGTGGCCCGGGAGAACCAGCCATCCGATTCCCATTTCGACTTAAAGGTAGGCAGCCAATCCATTGTGGCTTCCGGGGATTTGATGTTTCATGCACCGACGACAACCAGACTATACTCGAGATGGCATCATCAACTAAGCTCCGTGTTTATGAGATTGACTACAGATCTCATGCAATTACAGGACTTCCTTATGATGGTTGCTTGCCAAGGGAGTTGTTTAACAGTAATGGTTCTTATCCCTTTGAATTCGTACGCCCCGCAACCTTATTCAGTTGTCCACCGTCAACAGTAAGAGATAAATATTGTTCCAGCATGTATGTTAGAGGTGATCTGGCGAGATTGAGCCCATGCCATGGCAACAATTCTGGTAACCATAATTACGCTGTCCTTGGTGATTATTGTTACATTGATGAAATGCCCCTAGTGTCTTGTATTAAGGTGCATGACTACACATCAAATCCTAAATATATATCTGAGAGAGGAATATTGCGTTGGTCCATTCCATCATGTGAACATTGCAAAGGTATTTTACACTCCCAAGTTTACTTTCCAACTATAATTTCAAGATTATTTCAAGATTAATTGAAGATTCTATGCAAACTATAATTTTGGATTTCATTGATTCGAAAACCGGCCCTTATTTCATGAACAACTTTTACAGGTCGTAATCTTAGAAAGACAATTCTGAAGATATTAGGTGAGCTATATCCGCAGACCTTCATTTCATCTAATTTCTTTCTTTTTTTCCTTCCTTTTTCTTTCTTTTATGAACATAATGGTGAGGAAATTAATCAAGGGCATGTTTTCAAGAGAGTTTAAAATTGCTAAAACCGCTTTAAAAAACATTTGACACAAAAAGAAAATATTTGCAGGTATTTTTGCACTTTGTTTAGTTCTAATAGCGACAGGGACGACAGTCTACTATGTCTACAACTCAAACAAAAAGGAAAAAGAAAATCAGCTTAGAATTGAAAGATTTTTGGATGAATACAGAGCGAGGAAGCCAAGTAGATATTCCTATGCTGATATTAAGAGGATAACAAGTCAATTCAAGGAAAAGTTGGGTCAAGGGGCCTATGGAACGGTGTTCAAAGGAACTCTTTCCTCAGAGTTACTTGTTGCTGTGAAAATGCTCAACAATTCAAATGAAAATGGGGAAGATTTCATAAACGAAGTGGGGACAATGTGTCAAGTCCACCATGTCAATGTGGTTCGCTTGGTTGGAATTTGTGCCGACGGATTTATTCGTGCCCTTGTTTACGAATACTTACCAAATGGTTCTTTGCAAAATTTCTTATCATCAG